GGAGAGATAAACTATTAAGGTCAGCCCTGGCCCAGGCCTGAACTACACACATGTGGGGTACAGATTATTGGCCACTTCTGACAGAGACATAAATACAAGTTTTATGTCTTCTGCACAGTGTGATGCTAGCTGAGGAGCCTTTGGCCCCTCTTCATTCCTTCTATTTAGTCTTCAAGAGTTCTGAGCCGGCAGAGTACTCACTACTCCCATTTCTCTTGGCACAGCCCCACAATCAGACCAGGCATTCAATGTCCCTAGGTGTGGTTGTCCATCTGTCTATATGCTGGTGTCCTTTCCTCACTTTTCAGCATAATGCCCTTTGGAAAATTAAACATTGCTTCCATGTAAAAACAGAACACTGGGAGGAAATCACACTTGTTTGTACATTATTGGAAATGTTGGGAGAAAGGGGGACATCTAAGCTAATCTTAAACGAAAACAACATGTCGAGTCTTTGGACATAATGCTCTGTGTTGGTAGAGTGCATTTGCTGGAGCTTTTTGAAAAAAAAAAAAAAAAAAAGCTATTTGGCAGGATATATCATGACCCTTGAAAGAAGAACCTAACCTTTTACCCACTAACTTTACTTCCAGGAATTTATGCTAAGGAAACAATTGGTGACACAGGCAGTGATCCTCTGCAAGAATGTGATGGCAGCACTGTTTATACTAGCTACAAGGGCATAGCAATCTGGATGTACACCCAGAGAGAATAGCTATAAATCAGGTATACCATACAATAGAATGCTCTGTAGCCAATGAAAAATGTTCCAAAGCCTGTTAAATGACATTGGAAATCCCTATAGTGGGTAACTTTAAAAAATAGCCTGTTAGCCATGTATATAATATTATGATAAAATATTAACAGTGATTATCAGTTGTGCAAAGTATATATAATTTCATTGCTATTTTGTTTTCAGTATTTTTCCATTTTTCTGCAAAGCCATAAATTGGTTATAAGAATTTAGAAAGATTAACTTTCTTCCCTCCATGCCTCCTTTGCTGTGGATTGAACCCAAGGCCTTGTACATCCTAGATAAACACACTACAGCGTACATCCCCAGCCCAAGACAAACTTTCTTTTTATTGGCAAGCCTATGTCTCCAGTAAGAGCACCCTCCATCTTATACAAGCTCTGTAACAGTGGTGTGAAAACTTGAAAGGGTCTGCTGCATCTCTATTGGGATTGGGAGGAGCCTGCTCAGGTAGCTCTATTCACAGCATGGCCAGCATGCCCTGGCCAGTGCATCACAAGTTCCATCATTCAAGTGAGTCACCACAGAAGGGTGTCGAGCTGATGACATTACTACACACTGTACTTGAACTATCAGCTCCAACCTCACAGGCTGCCAAGCCTTGGGCTTATCTTCCTAAACTGTTATTCTCTCACTGTGCATAATGTCAAAGGAACTGCCTAGGCTGACAAGTCCTTTTGAGGACACCATGGGCCAGCATGCTACAGCTGATGCAAGCCTTCCAATTGGAGACAAACCAGCCCAGCAAGTGTTGCTTCCATGCTAAAGTTGAAGCTGTTACTGCTGTAGTTGGGCCTTGATGAAGGCTTTGGCAGGACTCCAGAAATATTTAGGGTAAAAAATATGCTGGGGTGTTCAGCTGGGAAATACCCAGCTGGCTGAGGGGTGTAAGAAATCTTTAAGGGTCATCTGCTAAAATTGGAGTTAGAAAGTTATTTCCTCCTGTTTTTAACCTTGGTTGTTTGTTGTGTTTGGCTTTAGTAGTGGGAAAAGAACGGAGAATTTTTTATTGGAGGTTTTAGGGCCGAAGGTGAAATTGACCAATTTTTGTTGGCCTGGTTTGTTTGGGATTATTATGGTGTGGGTGTTTTTGTTTGTTTGTTATTAACGCTTGTCATTTTAATAAGTAACGGGTAACCAGTCGCTGCTGTAGTGAAGAGGATATTGGTGATTATGCACAGATGGGCTATCATTGTCATCCCTGCGCATTGTAAGTCCCTCGTGTATGTTGTATGAATTCCATCAAAGCTAAAAGAGTGTGTCTCAGGGTCTGTTAGATGATTGCCTCTATGTATACAACCCTTCTGTTGTTATAAGCATCTTCAGTATATAAAAAAATGTGGACTGGTGTTGTTGATAGGGACATTTATGATGTGTCCCTGAAGTATAAATGAAAGGCATAATAGCTTTAGTAGTTGAAAACATCATAAAAAGTCTTGTGTAGTATGCAGTTTATTACTTCATGTACACCAGCACAGTGGTAATAGATTTTAAACTGTGGTCATTTCATAGCAAATAAATGTTATTGCTATGACTAAAACAAGCAAATAAAATGCTGTTAGACATTAAAAAGTGCAGATAATATTTATGGCAGTTGACATGGGACTTGAAGAATCACTTCTTAGAACAGTTATGAATGCCCTGCATTCCAACCTCACCCCCAGATAATTTCAGCCATGGTTTCCTGGCCAGGAATTGCTGAGACGTCTGAGGATGTAAAACAAGATTCAGAACCCCATATTGTATTCCAAGACTATGCTTCCCTTACAGATGACATAGGAAGCTAGAGGTGTTTCCTCAATATAGAAGTAATTTTAAACTACTTTGTAGATCCTTTTGAATTACCCTATGGTATTATAACAGGAACAGATTAGCCCAGGCCTCTGAGCCCAAGTTGTTCTCTTGACCCTCCCCTTGTTTCACTGGTTTGGGCCCTGATTCAGGTGTTCTTTCCAGGCCTTACCAACTGGCACGTTATATAGTGGGACAGAGAGAGGCCTGAGAAAGCATGACCTCAGTTGCTGGCCCAAGTGCCAAGGAAGACTGCATAGCATAGGTGATGTACAGCTGTTCCTGGACCCAAAGTGAGAGTCACCAGGAGTAGATGCTAATTTACAGTATAGTCCCTGACCTCCCTCTAATGATTCTTACTGTCTCTGTTGCTGGTTTTCTTCTTAACCTATTACATCTTGTCAAATATATTGTAAGCTCTTTAAAGCCAGAAACTTTGGCGAATTGTTCTTATTGTCTTGCTCATTCTGGGTGCTCAGCAATGAGTCTTTGATAGATTGAAATCTACTCTTTGAATTTCATTTCTTCCCTTGCATGACTCCCATCTGCTATATGAGTCTACCAGACAGGACAATAGAGGCTGGACTGTGGAGTCTATTGGAATTTACTATGTGTTGAGTCCTACTGTGTCTGCTGCTTTATTTCCATTCTTTGCAAATGTGGCAGGCATCTGAAGGAAACTCATAAATCAGTGATTAAGAGAATTGCTAATGTTGGGCCTGGGTCTGTGAAGCTTTTCAGGCCTAGAGGAGCAGAGTAACGCCTGCTTTGCAGACATAGAACACTGACAACGAGAGCCCAGGCTTTGGGTCGGGGCACTGAGTGAATCTTGGCCCTGTCACTTAAAGGCTGGCAAGCCTTACCGTAGCCCAGGGTTTCACATCTGCGCAGTGGAAATTTTAGCAGTGCCTGTCTTTGGGCTTGTTTGGCAGCTTAGTGAGAGCCACTAGTTTACTCACAAGTTATCTCTTTAATCCCTACAGGAATTACTTAGACAACCTAGCTACCGTGAAAGGAACAAAACTTCCTCCCTGTGGGATACATGTGCTAGAAATATAATACTCAATGATGACATTTAATAAGTGTTTAATCAGATTCATTGGAAGATATGAACTTGTCACAGAGTTTTCTCTGAATGCTGCCACAGGCATTCATGTTACAGCGTACACACACACTCAATACCAGTATCAGGTCTGAATTGGTGTAACCCTAGCACAGTCCCTGATATAGGACATGCATGTATTCTTGCTCAGTATCTGCAGCTGTCTTCCTGTACATTTCCTCCCCCCGTCCCCATAAAGAGCTTTATTTGAACAGTCCAGCAGCCAGCTAAGACTCGGGGCCTGAAGGTGGTTGTATGGCTAGCTAGTTTCCACATCATGTCAGCCATCTGTGTTTGCACTTTCTGTGACATAATGTAATTTCACCTAGTTGCTAAGATGTTTGCATAATCTACGGAAATAAGTCAGATGGCCAGCGTGGCCAACTAAAATCTACCAACCAGATTGTGATGATTTCAACCTTTCCTCTCAAAACCTTTGGTCAGCTGCCCATCAAAGAAAAAAATGAGCCGGGCAGTGGTGGCGCACGCCTTTAATCCCAGCACTCGGGAGGCAGAGGCAGGAGGATCTCTGTGAGTTCGAGGCCAGCCTGGTCTACAAAGTGAGTTCCAGGAAAGGCGCAAAACTACAGAGAAACCCTGTCTCGAAAAACCAACAACAACAACAAAAAAGAATAAAATGGACAAATTCGAGGTTTGGGCTCCTTTTTTAAAACTGTTTTTACTGAGGCTGTTCTTTGAACATCAGAATCCAGAACAAGAGAAAGAACAGGCCTGACAGCACAGCCCCAGGGAGCTGCACACAGCCCTAAGTGCTGTCTCTGAAAGGTGTGTGTCTGTTCTGCCTCTATTCCCTAGCATGTTCCTAATGTACACTCAGATCTCCCATGGCACATAGCCCATGTAGTTGAAAATGTAAACAGGAAATTGTTTTCTGGCTGAATGGCCTTTGTGGCCCAGAAAAATATTCATTTCTGCTGAGACGTAACTTTGAAAGCACGCAACAGTGAAGGCTAAAGGCTGGCCGAGAGTGAGGTCAGTGTGTAACAGAGCAAGCAACAAAACACAGAGATGCAGATTCATGTATGTGGGTCCAGCACATGTTCACCAGTGGCCAGTGGTACAATAGATAGTGGAGAAGCTTGAGTCACCTAGAAAGCCCTTGTGAGATGGGGTGAAAGGGCATGTTTGTGCATCCAGACATCAGGTAAAATGCACTCCTTGGAAGACGCAAAGGACCGACCTGGAGCATGGAGACTAGGCAGCATGCCTCTGGCCCTTGGTGCTCCTGTGTTCTGCTGCAGCACCCTGTCATTTGGCCTCCCATGAACCTCCTGTGCTCCCATTGTGGTTTCCCTATGTGCTGATGAGTTTTCTGGTTGTTATGTCTTGCAGCCCCCCGAATCCAAGCCCAACTTCACCCCTCTCGCCATCATGGCCCATGTTCTCGGCGCCATCCAGCCCTATGCCCACCTCATCCACGTCCAGCGACTCATCCCCCGTCAGGTCTGTTGCAGGGTTGGTTTGATTTCCTGTTGCTGCTGTTGTTCTCTCATTGGCTTGGTCCTCTCTTCATGCAGTGTTCAGCCTCCTCGTCAACTTTGTTCCCTGCCATCCAAACCTGCACTTGCTTTTTGACAGGCCAGAAGAAGCAGTTCGTGAAGACTCCAGGTAAAACTACGGATGGTGACTGACCTGTTCCCGTTTATGCAGAGCTGGTCAGGGACATTGTTGCCTCCTCTGCTCTCATATGATTCCATCCTAAGAAACCAAGCCAAGAGGCACAATACGCATGGCCTTGCATGGCATTTTTAATACTCTTTCTAACCCTTACCCACATTTCTGAATTAATCTGGTGCTTGGATTTGGGGAATAGGGATCTCCAAAAACCAGCACTCCTGTGTTGAATTATTTTTGGAATCGTGTGGGCTCTCCACGTTTTGGTTGAAGACAATATCCTAGGGAGCAGTGTTGACATACACACACTGGTCTTTCCTTGTCACATGTTTATCAGGTAATATCTGGCAGCATTTGCTTGTGGGTTGGGCCAATAGCCCTGAGCACTGACATCTAGTCACAGACCAAATCCGCTGAGTGAGAGGAGACTATAACACAGACTAAAAGACTGAGACATGAAGCACTTGCCCTTTAGATTGCTCAGGGCTTCTGCCTTCCTACCCTCCACCCCATGTACTCCAGGAGTCTCCTGGCCTCCCAGCCCACTTCGGTCTCTGTAGATCATGAACTCTGACTCTGAGTGCACATGGAAATGGGTTCTACATTTTTTTGAGGGTGAGTGGCTTGACCTAGTTCTTCTCCCAGAAGACCATGCCTCTGTCCTGTCTTGGAGCGCTCCACAGCTAAGTGCCATGGGTTTGCTCTTGGGCTCTCTATAGAAAAGAAACTCTTCAAATCCAGGGAAGGATGGAATAAAGATCCTATAGACTTCCTCTGCTGTTTGGGGCACTCGACGGGCAGCTCTCAGACTTGGCCTCCACATTCAACAAGCCAAAGTGCAGGGTCCAGGTAGAAGCATCGCAAGCATTCTTGATTTCGGCGGGATTTTTGCATACTGCCCTTTCTCCTCAGGAGTGGGTCCATCAGCGAGGGCTACCTCCTTTGTAAAGCTGACTCTCACCATTCAGGAAAGCCGTGCTCTCCATGTATGCAGGCACATGACTTCTTTCCCTTTGGGCATCTTCACATCGGTTGTGTCATTCTATACTCAGATGAGAATGAGAAGAGAAGTGGCCTGAAGCACACTGTGGAAAAAGAAAATGGTCACTTCATCGAATGAAAGCCAGGGCAGAGTCAGGAGTTCCTGCTGTCTGCCCGGCGTTTTTATTCTAGACCTGGGCAGCCCCGGTTAAGGTTCTGTGCCATCCCAGCCCTCGGCTCTACTGGATGAGACGTGGCTTCCCACCTAGTTTAGTTCTGGGTGATGGCAAAGATGGCGGGGTTGTGTATTGTTTTGTCCTCCCCCCATAGATAAAGTAAAAATTAGATCCTGTTTCTTAACACTTTAAACTATTTGTGAGTTATTTCTTAGGCAACTGCTAGGCACTTTAGGAGACATTTACTTTCCAGCACACCAGAAACCATATAGATTATTCCAGATTGGTCCCTCATTGACCCACAAGGACCTTGAAGGAACAACTACCATGACTCATTTACTTACTAAATAGCCTTGGGCATTAGGGGAATGGGGCTAGCCTAGACACAAGTAAATAGTTACACAGTACTGCCCCCTCTGGCCTCTGTTACAAGGGCACTATTGTGAAGATGTCCCACAATCCTTAAGGAATCTGTCATTTTGAAATAGACAAGCCACGATAGGGCTTGAAATTGGATGTCACTGAGTTACATGTTTATGCTAAGATAAACACAGATCAGAACCCTGCTGGAAAGGTAGCCCACTAGGAGACCAGAGGTGGGTCATAGTCCCTAATGGCTGTCACAGTGTATAACCAAGAGGTGAGGGCGTACATCCGTGGTTCAGGTCTAGTGTTGCCTTTCTCCAGATTTACTGACAGAACATAAAACCTCAGATTTCTTTCCTTTGGCAAAGCTTTTAACAACAGATTCTGAATGAGGCCTAATTAGGGGTCCTGGAGACCTATAGGGGTGGCTTCTTCTCTCCATCCAGTCTACTTTTTGAGCTTCTTGTTCCAAGCTCAGAAGTAGAGGTGCCTTTTACAGTGCAGAAGAGCTAGACACTGGAGGAATCCCCCTTTGACATTTGCCCTTGCTTTTTCTATTTGCCCATCCACTTTCCAAGAAGCCCCCACATTGGACCCCTAATTTGTATTTGCACTCGGGCCCTGGGAAACTGCATTAATGATCAAGTCACCGCAGGCTGGCTCCTCCTCCAGTAGCATGCACCACAGAGAGTGGGTTGTCATTCTGCAAAGCTTGCAAGGGCATTTGAGGGAAATTCCTCTGAGTGTTTTCCTGGCCTCGTTCCATGCTCAGAGGCAAAAATTAAAAGTGAACCAGCAGAAGGTTCCAGAGTTGCTCATGCCCTTGAAGGCCCAGCTGAGAGCTAAAGAATGCTGGGGTGGGAACTGCTAAAACCTCCCCCAGCTGTGTGCAGTTGCATAGTAGGGAGCCAAACAACCAAGAGTGCTGGCTTCAGTCACAACCAAAGCTTCTCAACCCAAACCTTTAGTCGACAGGATCTCTCTGCTTTGGTAGGAACCCTTCTTGTAAAGCAAATGCCTTAGAAACTTTCAGAGGGAGCTGTCAGGCTTATAGCAATGGCAGACTTTTAACAGGACAGGACTTCCCCAGTTAGAGTTGGCAGATACGCAAACCAAATAAAAATCCAACCTACTCAGTTAAATTTGAATTGAAGATAAATTAAAAAGACACTTCTTAGTATATGTGTATATATAAAGCATACATTATTTATATGAAATTCAGATTTGACTAGGTGTCCCTTAATTTCTGGTGACCTTACTTCTGGGGAATGGGAACACCCTCCTTTAAAAGCATGGCCTCTAAGGCTAGAAGTGCAGATTGGTGCTTGCTTACAATATCCATGGCACCCTACACTTGATCCCAGCACAACGAATATGTGCATGTACACGTGTGTGCAAACATACACAAGTCCCCCGCTTCTGCACCCCCCTCTATTTTCTGTACACCATTAGATAGTCGGGGAAAGATCTTCGATCAGCTGTCAATTACCTGTTAGAGAAAAACACTCTCTTTACTTTTAATACATTGTTTTCTTGGCATTTTATCACTAAATTGCAAAATTTTAATATTGGTGGAAAGTTAATCCCTTCTACTAATAGTTGTGGGTAATAGAGACCATGGTCTCTGCTGTCTGCTGCCAGACAGTCCTACTTGTTTCCTGGGCAGCTCCTGTTCTGTCCTGTTACCTTTATTTCATAAGGTTAATGAGTAACCTCTAGGAAAACCACATCCAGAGAAACATTGCCTTCTCTGGTCTCTTCACACTGCGCCCACCTGTGCTGCTCTGTCCTCAGACGCAGCCCTGGTCTCAACCTTGGCTCCCCTGGCCTGGATTCTCCTTCTACCCTGCATGTTGTGCGAGGCTCCTCAGGCTGGACAGTGTAATGCTTGGCTATTTTAGCCCCTTTCACGGCCTCCTGGCTGCTCTCTACCCATGGTCAGGGCAGGAGGTGGAAAGAGAAGTGCACTTCTTGTCCACTGTGAAGAGCTATACATTGACTGCTGGGCCCTTGCCAGCCGACACGCACATTTATTGTTTACTGAGATTAGACCAGGAGAGCTGATTTCCAGCTGAGCTGATGAAAACCAGAGGTTTTCTGCCTCCTCCCCAGTGTCCCTGTATTATTTTCTTCCCCTTTCCCAGCTCTCCCCTTCCCAGCATCATCCCGAGGCTATGAGAAAGCCAGCGAGAGCTACAGGAAGCTGTCATTTCCCTGGCCACACCCTCTGGATAACCACCAACTCTGCTCCCCCTCCTCTACAACACTCTTTCGACTGTGTGGCTTTCCATTTTCACGGACCCAGGGCTGGAAGGAACGGTCCCACTCTGAGTTGGCATCATCCATGACTCGTCCTTCCCGATGAGTCCTTGCACTCGGTGTCCCTAAGCAATCGCAGTTTCGGCAGACCCAAGACACCCCACCTCGTCTGAGACCAGACCCCTCTTCAGGCACTAGAAATCAGTGCACCCCAGGACCTGGGGCATTACCAGTTCCGTGAGGCTCTCAGATTGTCAAGTGAGGAGAAATTCAATGACACAGCTCTTCACTGTGGCTTTTTAAAACCTGTGCTTCTGAGTTCCAAAGTGTACTCCCTCAGATGACTTGGAGAGAGAAAGCCACTTGTGGCAAATAAAGACCAGCCCTTTTGACAGTTCGATGTCATTTTGACCATTGAAAAATCTACGGACTGCCGAGAATAATCAGGTGCCCAAGTCAAACTTGACAGAAAAGAGTGAAATTACCCTGTTCTCACAAATGACCGTGAAGACACACAGGCTTGCACCTTATATGGCCTGTGATGGTCAAACTATGCCCCTACTTTGTGGTAGATAACTTTTGACTGGAACAAAGCCTCACTGGTGTGTTTCCATGTTGTCCCTGGCTGCTGTGGACAGCAGTGCAGCATGAAGTAGTTACGACAGAGACCACATGCCTTCAAGAGCTCAAAGATTGGCCCCGGTACCACAAAAATCTGCCAGCCTCAACTCTGGCTGTGTGTAATAATCACTTGGAAAGTGACATACAAACACTTCAGTTTCAGTTCTGTTGCTTAGAGTTCTATATGCAAGTTGATAGGACATTTAAATGCCCTCAAGGGCATTCTGATAACATGGAGAGAGAATTGTCAGTATTCACTGAACAAGAGAACCCCAAGCAGAACACAGACTCAACCTCTGTCCGTCCCTTCTTCCCCCTCCTCTGCACACTCCCACACTGGTGCGCACACGTGTACTCACACACTACCTCACACTCCTCCTCCATCCTTGCCTGCCCTGGGGGCCGAGGAGTTCCAGCTCTGGAATGCTGCCCCACCAGCAATGGAGAACATCTGGGGGAACTCACGGCCGCCCCCGCCTGGGCTGAAACCTGGCTCTGCTGGAGTTTCTGCTGGATTCACTGGGTTTTGCCAGCTTCCAAGAGTAACTGTTGGGAATATTCTGCAGAGCCCTGTGACCCCTTCCTACCCCCAGCACTCTGTCTCTGAAAGCTCCTCCCTCCCTTCCCAGGCCCAGCTGTTGTAACTCCCAGGTAGAGTTTCTCTGGGGCACAAGATGACCTTGGAGAATTGTGGCCTTAGAGTGTGGCCTTTTCCTGACTCTTACTCCGTTTTCTCCTGTGGCCTCTGCGACTTCCCACCTCCTGCTTGGCCATCTGGCCGCCTTGTCCAGACTCTTCCCAGGAGGGGAGGACTAGGTGGCTTGCAAGAAAAGGGAAGAAGAAAGATGAACTCTCGGGTTTTCGGGGTGGAAAACAATGTTAAATAAACTCCCCCTTTCTACACAGCACACCGTTCCGGAAGGCAAAGGCCTTGTATGCCTGCAAAGCCGAACACGACTCTGAGCTTTCCTTCACGGCAGGCACCATCTTCGATAACGGTGAGTTTCCCATCATCTCACAACAATGGAGGGAAGCAGATGAAGGAAGTTCCTACCTGGGGTAGGGGGAGTCTTTCCCCCAGGTCAGACTTCTGGAGGCGTTACCTTGGGTAGACCCACATCGACACCTAGTCACTGAGATGTTTGGAACTGTGAGTGAGATTGTACCTGGCCTTGGTGTTTCACATTTGTGAGCTAGATGGTCAGAGACGGGGGGAGAGGAATACAGGTTGGTGGCAGCTGGGCAGAGACATGGGTCGAGCTCAAGGTCACCTGTTCTGTCATTCTTTACCCTTGGGATCTGGGCCTGCATTGTTTTCAGCAGGCACGGCTCCTGCCCCAGACAACCAGGTGGCCAGTAAACCTCTTTCTGCTCCTCCTCCTCCTCCTCCTCCTCCTCCTCCTCCTCCTCCTCCCTTGAACTTGTGAGCACAGAACAGATGCCCTCATGTGACATCACACCCCAGCAGCGGCCTGCTGTGGCATCCAGGTGCAAGAATGTATTGTGGCACTCCATAAAACCGTGGTCCGGACCTCTTTGGTGCACCATTTTCCCAGTTCTTTTCTGTCTTCCTCCCTAGAAACATAGTTGATAGTGAGAAGTGAAGCTGTGGCTTGGCGTAATTATTTACCTAAGAGGAAAATCTGGACCCCTGTGCAAACACCAGGTTTCTGTGATGGCTGTTTTCCTTGGGTAAAGTTCTCCTTCAGGGTTAAAAGCGGTTCGTCCTGTTTGCTTCAAAGGAAGACAAAAAGGCAGCAGCCTGTTTCCAGGACCCAGATATTTGTTCTGGCCACCCCTTGCCTTAGGCGCAGGGAAGGCAAAGGTCACACCAATCTGACTGAGCACCACCCCTGCCTGGCCCTAGACCCGCCTCTCCCCATGTGACTGAGGAGCAGCACAAGTATAGGGCAGCTGAGGTGCCTCCGCAGCACACGAGTGCCTGACCCTAGAGCCAGGCCACAGTGCGTGTCCCAGCCTGACCACTTGTTCTGATGTGACCTCAAGGGGTGACGTCACTTCTCTGTGCCCTGGTTCTCCTCTCTGTCACAGCCGATAACACGCCCACTTTGCAGGGTGTGGTCAAATGACATCAAGCTAATATAAATTGTGGGTTTGAAATAGTACTTGAGGAATAGGAGGTGTTCAGTGTGCTGTGCTTATTAGTGTCAAGAGCTTGTGTCCATCTTAGAAAAAGACCATGGCACTGCGGTCCATTAACAAGGATGGCTTTTCCTTTTTGGCTAGCATGGCCCAGCCTGACGAACTGTCCATCAGCTAGCGGTAGGCACTGTTTATGTCTTTGGAACCTGTCGGCACATCCGGAGTGCCTGACACCAGGTGTATCCCACACCCTGCCTTCTGCCCACCTATTAGTCAGGCTTGGGTAGACATAGTGGGGAAACGCAGCACACAGTGCAGGGAGATTCCCAGCCTGGACCTCCTGGGCCAAAGTTGAAACTGCGCGTGTCCTGATGAGGCTGTGGTCCAGCTCCGTGCTTCCCTGAGTCCAGAGCCCCATGCTGGGGCTTTGGCTCTGTTGACTGTCTTTCCGGGTGCTTTGCAAATCAGAGCACGGAAAGTAGCCAGTGCAGCCACCTCTCCTGTCAGCAGCGGGTGCTTGCAAACCTGGCAGACCAGCATGCCAGTGGGCCTGCTGAAGACTGTCCCGAACCGTGTCTCGGTGAGTGTGCCCTGCCCAGACCGGCTGGAGTAACATGGCACAGCTTCCCCCGACAGACAAATCAGAAGGGGTGTCACTAACTGCTGGGGCAGCTGTGCTCCTGACGTGGGTGAGTAGTATATTCAGAGTGAGACAACTCTCACCACTATCTACTTCCAGGATATCACACCCCCTCCCACACACCCCCAAAACACACAAGGTGAATCCCATAGCCTTTAGTAATCATGATGCTTTACCCCTAAACTTTGGATATTTCATACAAATAGAACTACATAGTTTGTGGTCTTTGTATTTTCTTTTTTTTTTTTTAATGGTGTTTTTCAAAGTTAATCCATGTTGTAACGTGTATCTGCACTTTATTCCTTTTTATGGCCAAGTAGTATTTCATCGTATGGCTGTACCACAGTTTACTTAGACACCCACCAGTTAATGACGGGCTAGCTTGTTGTCACTTTTTCACTGTTAAGAATGATATTCTGTTGACATCCGTGTTTGAGTATTTTTAAAAGATAATTTCTCCGGGGATTGCTGGGTCACGTGGTAACTCTAGATTTACTGTTTGAGGAAATGCCAGACTATTTTTACAAGGAGCTTGTACCACTCTGCATCCCCTCTTCCATTTTAACTCTCATTTTTGAAATAGCTTAAGTAGTCGGGCAAACACCGCCCGCCTATGAGTTTGACTTGCCAGGGCCTTCCTTGCCCAGCGGGGTGCTCTGCCCAGCAGGTGCTGTGACTGCTCCCACCAGGTAGGTAACCTTCACAATTCCTCTAAAGACAGATACATGTAGCAAGAAGGAAGTCTGGTTCCCTTCCCATGCAGTCCTGTGATCTCTAGGGTTCATTTCCCATCCCTTTGTACCCACCCTCTGCCCTTGCAACCTCCCCCCACAAAATAAAATAACATTTAAGAGGAAATAGGAAAAATCAATCTCATCATGGAAGCTGTAGTGTGTGACACAGTGAGTCATGCAGTAGACCTTTTTATCCATATATATATATTTACTTGCAAGTGTTCATTGCAAAGCATCATTGGTCTGGTTCGAGGCCTCTGGTTTCTGCTACACTATCGATGCTGGGCCCTCACTGGGTCTCCTCTTGGATATCCTGTTGTTGCCCTGTGTCATGGAGATCCTGCAGCTTTGGATCTACAGGCTGGGCCCCTTCACGTGCTCCAGCAGATCACAGATGGGGTGGATGTTGGGGTGGGCCAACTCAGAACCCTGGTTCTGGGCCTGGGTAGTTGCAGGGTTGATGAGCCCACCAGCTCTCCCTTGTTCTCACCACCAGAGTGAGCTCTCCAGCATTGCTCTGGCTAGCTCACCCCTTGCAGCAATGGGCAAGGGGCGGGGCCAGTTCTCCTGCTTTTACACCCTCGGGGTCGGTTCTCCCACACCCGGGCTATCTATCGGGGCCAGCTCTACTGTGTTGCCCAGGCAAGGTGCAGTGGCCACTCTCCCGAGTGCTGCAGCTGGTGAGAGACACGGACAGCTCTCCCACTCATATAACCTCAGGGCCAGCTCTCCTACCTGCCGCAGGTGGTGAGGGGCAGGAGGTGGGGAGGGCATCTCTCCCCCACCCACACCACCACATGGCAGATGAGGGGCGGGGCCAGATCTCCCAAGCTCATTCTTAGGCCGGTTTACCCGCACCCTGTCAGTAGGGTCAGCTCTGCCTCTGCTGCCCAGGTGAGGTGCCAGGCGCACTTTCCCAAGTGCCGCAGCTGGTAAGGGGGAGGGTCAGCTCCCTCACCCACCACAGGTGGTAGGGGCAGAGCCAGGAGGACATCTCTCTCCCTCACCCTCACCATCACATGGCAGATGAGGGGGGTGTGGACAGCTATACCACTCTCGCATCCTCAGGGCCAGCTCACCCATGTGTCCGCCAACAGGTCAGCTCTACTGTGCTGCCCAGGTGAGGAGCAGGGCTGCATGCCCAAGTGCTGCAGCTGATAAAGGGGAGGGTCAGCTCCCTGGATAGCAGGAGGTGGTAGAGGCAGGGGGTAGGACATCTTTCCCTCGCCCCCACTACTCCACCACAGACAAGGGAGGTGGTAGCAATCTCGTCCTCCTCACACCTGCAGGGCTGGCTCACCTGTGCCCCTGGAGAACATTTCCCCAGTCAGTTCCTTCCACCTTTCTGTGACACAGGCTCTCTCTCGTTTCTTCTGTGGGCTGCAGACTCCAGTCTAGCTTCCAGCCAGTTCTCCCTCTGGCTCCCAGCTTTCCACAGGAGTTCTGGGATGCCAGAAGCACACTACCGCGTTGGCTTTTCACTTAGCTTCTGGGGATCAAACCCTGGTCATCAGGCTTACACAGCAAATGTTCTGTCCTTTGAGCTGTATCCCTGGCCCCTGAGAGAAATGCTAGCCCACATTCTAGGCTGTTTTGCCTGGTAATATTTCACCAGGTTCTATCCTAGAGGAAAAATCTTCTTCTACTCTGTCAGAGAAATTAGGCAGTGTAGAAGAAAGTAATTAAGATGTTAGATGGAGAAGTGGCCTTTTCTGACTGTTCCCTCCTGTATTGACTCTGAAGAGATAAGGTAAAGCCTGTGTGGCCTGGATGCTCACTGCAGCTGTCAGGTTAAAGCTTCCTCCTGACAGTTTTTGAATATGTAAGCTATTGCTGCGTGTGTGCTGTGTTTTGTGTGTGGAATAAGGAAGAGAAGGGAAGAGTGTGTGGGGGGGTGAAAGTCTGCTCTTTTATAACCATTGATCTCTCAGCCTTGGATTCCAGGGGCTCAAACTTTGACTCTGGGGCAGCAGCTTAGTCAACTCCTAGACTCTATGTGGCAGAGGATTGATGTGCAGTACTGGGAAATATCTCCAGTGTTAGCTCTTGCCAATCTACCAGGAAACTGTCCACCCTGCTAGGAGCACCTCAGACAGTAACTGGAAAGAGAAGCAATTTGTGTTCTCGGGAACATTAGTCACCCAGAAGCAGTGTGATTTGTGATACCTAGAAAATTCACGTGGCAGTTGCAAAAATTGGGTTCTTGGGATACTCTTCAAGTTTTGAGATGAGGATCTGGAAGACAGATCTGTAGGTTAACATGGTTACCATGTGGACATGAGGCCCTGAGTCCCACCCCTAGTGTCCTTGTCAAAAGCCAGGTGCAGTCATGTCCCTGAAATCACAGTGCTGGGCAGGCAGACAGGAGGGTCCCTAGAGCTTGCTAGCATCCACTGTAGTTAAATCTGCCGGGTTCAAGGAGAGGCCCTTTCTCAAGAAATAAGGTGGAGAACAGCGGAGGAAGACACCAATACTGGCCTCTGGCTTCTACACACACAGGCATACGTGTGCACACACATTCATGCACACGTGTGTGCCTGTGAGAGCACACACACACACACATTTGAGATGAGCTAGATTCTTTCACTGTGGTATACAACGAAGCATCATTGCCAAGCCAGGCTGCCCCAGGTCCCTTGCCCGTAGACAGTATCCTCACCAGAGAGACCACGAGCTGCCCAGGAGTGGGGTGACCTGAGAGCTTTTCAGGGTAGTCTCAGCTCCCCCGCTGTTGCACTGCCACACCAGCATCCAGCCAGTTTTGCCTCGGCACCTGCATGTTCCCACCAGCTGCCAAGTACCCCTGCCAACCACTCTTGCCTCTCAACCCATCTCTGCATACAAGCTAGAGTGGTCTCCCAAGTCCCATCGTGATATTCCCCGTTTAGAGCACTTCAGTGGCCTCCTATTGCTCTGTGAGGTACCTCGGAGGCCCTCTGCATCCCAGCCCTACCTCCTGACCTCTCACCAGGTGTTTATACACCACAGCTTTGGAGGACATAACCGTAAACTGCTGGTAAGCTGCCTCTTTTTGTAGTTAATGTTTTCTTGGAGCATGGCCACTCCTGCTTTTTTGTTTGTATGTTTTCTAGGACACTCCAAGGAGTTGCCATACTCTGTGCCCGTTACAGGGTGTTTACAGACCACTGTTCTGAGACCACACCTAGCTTTTCTGTGTCTTAGGGCCGGCCTCGTATCTATGCTAAGCACTCCTGGCTGATACTGTGAGTGCCCTTAAGTTGTAACTTTCAGAGTTCCTCCCCTCCCCCCAAATCCCATCTCTTCTCCCCTTCCCTTCCCCTCTCCCTCCCTCCTCTCTCTCTCCCTTTTCCCTGTCACTATGTTTATTGATAAATTGTTGCTCCCCGAAGGGGACATATACAGGAACCTAGCACAATGCCTGGCCCCTGATAGGAGCTCAGAAGACATCTGTGTAATGAATAAATGCCTGCTAATCACACAGGTCTGTAACTTCCTCCAGTGGAGGCTTCTTCCCTCTGGGGGTAGCCAGCCATTAGAGATCATAGTCACACTTGCCCATTGTCCATAGTGGATTAGCAGAGAAGAAAGTGTAAGCTGAATATGCCGGGGACCTGTGGTGTACCTAAGGCTGTAGCAAAGACAGCAGTTGGGCCCATGTCAGCAGCAGCTTATAGTTTATGTTCACTGGGCTAGATAGCCACCCAGGCAGCTCCTTGCAATGCACGGTGCGTGCATAGTACATTGACTGGTAGAGTTCAGCCTGCCAATCACTAACTGAGTACTTCCCCAGTCAGCATACTGAGGCAGGCATAAGCAGAGTTCAGACTGTGGGCTGAGTGGTCAGATGTCCCAGCCCTGTCGTATGTCTCCACTGTCTACCAGCTATGCAGTCCTTGGCAGGCTGCTTAGCCTTTGGGGCCCTCAGTTTTTTGTCTGTGGATAGAAGAGCAGCAGAGCCAGCTCTGCGTTCATACTGAAGCTAAGTCAGCTGGAGTTCCTGTTGGTAGTGTTCCTGCTACATAGCGTGTGCTCAGCCTGTTCACACCATCAAGAAGCACCTTCTCCTGTTGAACCAAAGCAGGATAGAGTGTGGGGGGGGTGGGGGTGGGGGGGGTGGTCTCTGGGTTCAAATTCTGGTTTTACTCTCATGACTGTGCAAATTAATCTGTCTGAAATTCTGAGCACGGGACCCCTCCATGATACTCAGCCTCTCCACATGATGGGTTGTGTCATAATGGATGATGCAGAGGGGAGTCGCTGAAGGTTGTTGAACCACATAGTTGATAACAAACTGAAATGTATTGAAAAGTCAGGTAGGGAAGCATTTTAGCAGTGTATTACTAGGACCCATAAACACTATGTGGGATGTGTATGAATTTTCCAGAAATCAGGAGGTTGGAGGAGCAGGTAGAAGCAAGTCCACAATACTGTTTATGAAGGAGTTGCAGCTGAGCCATGTATGAGGCCAGAGAAGGGATTGCAGCAGGATAGAGTGGGGCGTCTGGGCTCCCTCCTCCACCAGCCAACCTCAACTCAGATTTTCATTCTTAGCTATTGCCTTTATTACAACAAAGGTATTTTGACACAGAAAAGTCGTAGTTTTCACTTCTACAGACCTATTAAAATGCAGGTGCCTAGGGCCCAGGGATCTGTAGGTTCTGTAAGCATACAGTAGGGCTGGTGCATTGTCTAGCAGGAGGCTCTAAGGAACCCTGGATCAAGGACTCCAGTGAGTCAGCAGACTCTAAAGGGCTGCTTCATCCCCTGAAATAATTCCATGTGACACATCTCTAGGTCTTCCTGGTTCCCTCTGATCCTTCCCGTAGTCTGCAAATTCCACCCAGGTTTGTAGATAGGCTCCTCGGTACTTGTGCCATTTGAACAACTGTGGGAAGGAAGCAGACCCATCCATCCGCCAAGCAGCTCTGCTGTAGAGTAGCAGAGCTCTTTTGGTTGTCTTTATTTTAGTCAGATGGTTTTTTCTTTTTAACTTGTTTAATTGGTCTAATTTTGCTTCTGAACATCTAAGGTTTCCTGAAGCTTTGGTGGGCGCAGATACTAAGCCCTCGCCCAGACCGGCTGGTGGAAGGGCCCTGGGGTCCTCCTGTCTCCACCTCCCCGTGCTGGGATAGTGGAGCACACTCCCACAGCTGGCCTTTCACGTGTTTTCTGACGAGCTGAACTCAGTCCTCACTCTTACGCACCAAGGGCTTTCTCTAATTTGCTGTCATCTCCCCAGCCCCTTGGCCGTGTTTTACTGGAGGGAGTTCCTCACAAACCTGCACTGGGAGTTAATGACGCACTTGCAGTGTCTCCTTGAGCACCAGAAACCACAGAAAAGGTTTTGCCACCATTGTAGAGGTGTAGAACTGGAAATGGTCTTGACAGCCTCAGCTGGTGGCCAGGCAGAGGACAAGCCTATTTGGTATTCCTTATAGGCTGCCTAGAAAGACCTGTAGTAGCTGGAGAGGCCAGGCCACCCCTAAGAGCTGCAGACTCTTCCCTGTGTGGTTGCTGTGGGTCTGAGCAATGTAATGATAATCTGTTTAGGCTTCATTCTTCAGGCCTCGTGGTAGGAGGTTATGCAAAGTTTTGGAGGCCAGCTAATAGGTGTCTGACCATGTCCTCATCTAAGGAATGCCTCTACACACACACATTAGTCCTTCTAGAAGTCTCCGAGCCTGTGATTTTGTTTCCTCCCCGCTGGCCTCCATCAGTTTCTGTTCTTCTTTCCCTACAAACCGAAACTAGAATTATACAGTAGTGGTGGGGCGGAAGTGCGTTTCTAAAACAAGCTCAGGAAGTCACTTAATTAGCCCAGGAAAGGCACAGGGGGGAATCCATTCTCTCCAAACAATCTTGGATAATTGGGGTTTCCTAATCCGTATAGAGTGAGTACCCTGTCCCACCCCAGAGTGACCTGTGCTTGTACAGCTGGTTCACAAGTAGGAAGACCCCCACTTCCCCATACACACTCATCACTGAGGCTCACAATCCCCTCTTCCCTCCCACTAGGCTGCACCTCACAGACTCAGACAGATTTCTCCATGTCTTCGTTATTGGTGGTTTCCAGAGAGAGGGATCGTGACATAACAGAACAGGGTCTATATTCTGTGGATGTTGAAAAAAAAATCAAAAGTTGCAGTAAAGGAAGCAGACAGCTTTCTGGCTTGTTTATAGGCAAACGAAAAGTTCGAGAGTGTAGAAAAGAAAAGTAAGGAAGGGCGTGGGTGGAGCAGAAGGGAAGCATTCAGAGTCTGCAGCGTGAAGGGAGGATCTGCAAGGAAAGGAGAAGCAGTGGTGAGGATTTAAAGGTACAAAGCAGATAGGTCAAGCTGGGCTTGGTGGCTCATTCCGCTGCTCGCAGGACTCCTAATGCTGAAGCAGGAAGATGGCTATGAGTTCAAGTCTAGACTACAGATTGAGACCCTCTTTCAAAAAGATAAAAACAATAATGAACAAACACACAAAGCAGATAACGAGTAAAGACTAGTTCTTAGCAAACCTTCAGGGGCGTGCCATTTGGTACATAGCTGATAGTGAGTAGGATGGGTTGATACAAATACGCCTGTTTGGGTGCAAGGGGGGGTGAATGGGTGGGTGTGTGGGTGGGTGGAGCATCCCAACTGTTGACCTCTAACCTAAAAGATGTAAATCTGTTGCATGTAGTTTAAAACGGGAACTTCAGAAAATTCATAAAGCCCCTGAAACTGCATGTAAAAATGCGAATGTCTGAATGTTTCCCTTTTGGTTGTGGGAAGACTTCAGAACAGCCTTATCAGAAGGGTTTCGTTCCACAAAAGGTTAAGGACCTCTGTTTCCAACCAGTCCTGGGATTACATAACAAGCAACTGTAATCATTCCCCAAACTTACTTCCCACATCCTCCAATGCATAGCACACCCACCTCTTGCTCTGCCCATGACCTCATCTCCTCTCACTCTCTCTCCCCTTCCGGTACAGTTCATCCATCTCAGGAGCCTGGCTGGTTGGAGGGGACTCTGAATGGAAAGACTGGCCTCATCCCAGAGAACTACGTGGAGTTCCTCTAACCTGGAGCCCCCGGCAGAGCTGCTGAGCTTTACGTGGTCTCCATGACAACTGCTGATTCTGGCGTTGGGGGCCACTTTTCATTGCCACTGAGAAAGCAGGGAACCTGACTCTTGCTTCCTGCCAACATGAATGCCTCTGGGAACTTGTGTCACGTCTCTCCACGATCATCTCAGCTGACGACACCACAGTGATGCTGCAAGAATTGAAAGTCAATGAGCAGAGGAGGCCATTTGATTTGGATAACCTAGAGGAAGCCTTGCAAAGCTGTTTTCTCATGAGTACCCTAAACAGCGAGCCCTGATTTTGTTTCAACAGTCATCCAAACCCCCAGGTTCTGGAAGGAGGAAACAGGATGAGAATAGTCTTACAGAAAGGGCAGCATTGCTGAGTCGGACAAGGCAGGGCAAAGATGCAGGCTGCCTCGACTGCTGTTTCCAGCAGACACTCGTTCTCTCTCCTTCCTTCTCCCAGAGACACAGTGCTGCAGGCAGCTGGGCCTGTCGGCAAGCACACAGGATGAAGGGGTTGCCGCGCTGTTTATGGAAGGTCCAATCTCTCACCATCTCCTGAGCAGCTGTCGGCCTACACTCAGCAGATTTCAGTCCAGTCCTCTCATGCAAAGAAGCACATGCCCCTCACGTTCTCTGCCACTGAAGGCTTCCATCACTGCCATCACCTAGTAACCATAGCAACCCAACCTACTTTAAAACTAAGCCAAAAATAATACTCCTCTTTGTATGACAACCCCCTCTACCAGCTCTGGTGGTTTTTTTTTTTTTTTTTTTTTTTTTTTTAATGGTCTTCCAACAATCTGAAGCAGAGGATTAGACCATTAGGGTGGTCTCTCTGGGGCAGACAGGATAGCAACTGGGGACTGTTCCTTTTCTGGTAATGTCAACATCATCAGCATAGGTTTGGAGCAAACTTTAAGAACCTGTTGAGATTAAATCCCATACACAGTCAATGCTTCTGTTCTTCATGTAACGAGTTTTTGCTTCAGAGGGCAAGATGCTGCCTCTCTCTAGGCTAGCATCTAACAGGTCCCCTCCAGTTCTCCCCCTACCCCCTCTCTGCTGCCTGCCTTTGCCCTTGCCAATAACCCCCAAACAGTTCCCTAGAATGCTTTTGCTACTGAGGTCCTGTGGAGTTTAGAGATGATTCTTGGGCCATACCTATAGCCTGAATTTTAAAAGGACATTTGTATTCACTGCCACCCGAAAAAGAGGGAATCATTAACTAGGTTATCCAGGCATGAGACTAATATAGACCATTAAGAATCTGGAAGACACCAGATGTTGAGGCCTAGGGGCTAGGTTGGGTGCCTTCTAGGAGAGGGAATTCCCAATTAAAAGGCTCTGGGTTTTAACTGTTGTGCATGGGAGACCACATGGACATTTCAACGTCACATGACCTCCAAAGAACAGAATCATGGTATCTTCACAGATGAATGCCCTTATTAGAGGGACTCTGGACAGACAAACTGCCCCACTCTCCAGGAGCTCCTTGGATGGCAGTGTTGCTCCGGAGTATCTTTGGCTCTGGGGACTCCCTTAGGGTTCTATAATGAAGAAAAGAAAAACTTGAATTGTGTTGAATTACTGTATCTTTTGCTTTTTTTTTTAAAGATAAACTTGTAAATAGAATGATTTGAAATATTATATGGTAAAGTTTTATATTTGATATTCTTTAAGCTAGTCGCTCCATACAGTTAGTATTTTGATTGCTGAACAAGTGTATTTAAAGGGTGTAAGAGAGGCAGAGTAGATGAGTCATGGTCATGTCCCCTCTCTGGCCCAGTGAAAGAATGTTTCCCTGTGATTCCTGTCGGGAAGCCTGAAAAGTCCATTGTATTCAGTTTTCTTTATCTACGTGTGATTTCAGGCTTCAGAGCTCAGAAAGTGTTTTCAGGTAATGAATTTTCAAAGAACTCCCATCTAACAGTAAAGTGACACTCAGGATTTAAAATGGTGGGGCAAGGGGTGACGTGTTTGTTTGTTTTTGTTTGTTCTTCTCAGGTGTATTTCTTGGTACCCCAGGATGTCCAGACAAAAGGAGATGAGACAATTACTCCTTTTCTTCCACACACCCTAAGGTTTTTATAACTATAGCCTAGCTGGTATAGAAATGTATCTCTCAGTGCTAAGAACAGAACAAGGAAGCCAGCGCTGTGCTTCTTAGTTGTTGGTGCGCTTTTACTCCTCCTGTGGCTATGTCTGCACTTCCCTCTCACCTCCAGATTCCCTGCAGCTCCAGAGGAAGAGTCTGCCACGAGGGATGGAGACTGCACCATCACGGTTTTTAGAGCGCCTGTAATGTTAACAGGAGTTGACTGTTGTGACTCAGTATTGACTTTACCAGCTACAGGATTGTACTGTTGTCCCCCAGGAACTCAGCCAGGAGGAAGGGCGACTCTGCCCTGCAGTCAGGGAAGCAGAGCAAGGCAAACAGAGGACTCAGAACTGCCATTGATGCTGGGTGTGATGGCTCATGCCTTGTAGTCTTATCACTTTGCGAGGCAGAGGCAAGAGGATTGCTGAAGTCCTAAGCCAGCCGGGTTTGGGGGTGGGGAGAGGGATTGAAAACAGGAAGAAAGGAAATAGGTGACACAGGTTCCATACCTATTCCCTGTGAGCTTGAGAACAAGGTTGGAAATAGGGCCTGAAGGGCATGCACGCTCAAGGAGCATTGAAAGAGCCCAGCATGATACTTTTAATATGTCTGATGATTTAAATTGTCACCTGCCCCATCATAAGTGAGGTGTTCTTGTAGTCAGGGCCCAGCATGACTGCTTGGTTACATATCCCTCTCTCCCGAGCTGGCCTTGGTTTGAAGCTGCTCTCTGAGGCTGACCTCCTTCCAGTTTCCCTGAGGCCATGTGTGGCCTATGACAGATGGTCACTCTGGTTCCCTCTGTCCAGCTAGGCCTCCCTCTTCCTCATCAGCTAAAGAACTGGGGAGATGAATACGAGCCAAGTGAACTGGAAGATTAAAAATGAAATGTACCCTTTCTGCTCTCTGAACACCCCCTCAGCTCCCATGAATAAGGAAAACGGGGGTAGAATGTGGGGAGTGAGTTATCAGAATGGAAGTCCATTGACTGGACTCCCAAAGGTTTCCCTGGAGCGTTGAGCTCCTCTTGTAAGGCCCTGGGATCAGGCGGTTGGGACCTGGATTTGGGGGCGTTATGATTGGCTTCACTCCACCTCGAGATGCAGAGCTCCATAACTGAAGAGAAGATAGCTGATTTCAGATCCCTGTCCCCAAGCAAGGAAAACCGGGTCTTGCTCAAATGGATGGAATTCTCTCCCAGTTTTCAAGATCAATGTCTAAGAGTAAACTCCGTTTAGTGGGCCCCTCAGTAGTCTATAAGTCTTGGAGCCAGTTTTTAGTATTTCTAAAGCCTATATGTGAATGCTTGTGGGTGCTTTTTTACAGGGAAGCAAAGAAAAACTTAGCATAAGTACTTACAGACTGGCACTGGTTGGTAGAACTGAACCATGCTGGTTTCTTGGGAATTGCAGGCACTTGCCCACAACTCCAGACATGAGTGTGCCATACCTGGATCTCAGAGAGAAATCCTTGTCAGCTGTATCTTCTACCCGAAAATGGTAGTACCAATTATACCAAAAGCTGTTTCTCAGCCTTAGAGGTTCCGAAAGCATCCATTATTAAGGCATGGGGAAATAGAGTAAAGATGGTGAGATCATCTGTTCCATGGCAGGCTGTTGACACCTTCCATCCTCTGTCATCTGCTTCCAGAGACGAGGCTGCTCTCCTAGCTTCATAGCCATGGAGCTCCTGGGTGCACCAGCGACCACCCCGGCACCTCACATTTGCTCTATTACTCACCATCCCTAGTAGATGAGGGAACCACGCATCTGCTTAGATACCTGACTTTCAAAGGAATCTCCTGGGTGTCTGTGAAGGGAGTTATCTGCCACCTCTGGCAGACTTGACAGTGATCACTTATGCCGACAGCCCTGCCCCATAGCCCTTTAATCAGCCAGGTACCCCTCACACCCCACAGTGGTGTTTGAAAAATGTCATTTGTACTCAAATATTTCTGCAGCCATGTTGATCTAGGGGTTGTCTGTGAGCATAGCATCAAAATGCCAAGAAGAGAGCAGTGAGCCTTGCACATTCCTCCAACACACCTGAGACGAGACTCCAACAAGTAATAATTAGCTTTCTTCCTTTTGCCGCCCACGGTACTTGTCTAACTTAAGAGAGTTTCCCAAAGCAGACAGAGATTCCAGGTGTCGCTCAGAGGCAGCCCTGTGTTCATGGGGAGAAAAGCGTCGATACAGAAGCTCCAGGATTGGAAAGGGAAAGTGAGCCACATTGAGGAGCCCCAGGTCTTTAAAGAGTACTAAGATACTGCTCTTAAGTGAGCAGTATGTCTTATGAGGGGGTGAGGGGTGAAACTGGACTACCACCAGAAAAATTTCACAACTAATGATTTTTCACAAGTCTGTAGGACATTACAAAATGCCCTTCATGGCGGACTGTTTTAGAGAGCAACAACTGAGCATAGTCCTAAACCATGGAAGATGAGTCAAGAACTATTGTGTCAAAATTAGTGTAGTTGGTGGGGACCAGAGTATGGGCAATTCAATGTCTGAGTGACCTGGAGTAGCTTCAGCCAGGCTGGGACATTTTGTGTCATCCCACACCCACAGTTCCAATAGGCTTAACACCGACGAGACAAACAGCGTTCCTGGGGGTCAAGATGCCAGGACCAGCGTTGTGGCTGTGAAAACAGACATCTGGTGATTCTAAAAGCTGTGTGTGCATGTGTTCGTGTGTATGTGTCATGTGTAGCATATAACTACATGTGTAAAGATACAGCCTCACGTGTAGACATGCATGAGCTGGCACTTCCAAAGCTTTTACAGCCTTGGAGATTTGGAAGGAGGGTCTCAGAGGAATGAGAGGCTGATGATTTCCATGCAAAAGATCAAAGATATAAATGAAGTGCCATCTAAACCCCATGTTCATATTTATCACGTAGTTATCTGCAGCTGTGTTCCTTGGTGACTTATTAAAAGTCATGTTAAAAACTCAAACCATAAATTCCCAATAGCTAATGCTAGGCTAGTGTTCAAAAGCACTCTAAAAGACATTTAGTCCATATCTTGGGAAATAAACTATTTGCATGTTTAATTCATCTTTTAGGCTACCTTTGAGTATACTGTACAGTGCTATGTGATACAATATCAATAAAGTACTTATAAATGGCACTTTAATATTTTGAAAAATCATAAGTAACACACTGTTGTAAATTTCAGTATTGAATATTGACTGGTGCATAGACTCAAATTCTGTAATTAAAAAGTAACCTGCAGCTAGTATAGAACATTTTCCTGTTGTTAAAAAACAACATTTTGCCATGTTCAGGCTTTTAAAAAAAATGTGTTTCTGTGCCATTGTGCGTATCTATAAAGGAAATACAATTCCTGTAAAGCACCTCTGAAACTTGGCTTTTTTATGTTTGGTTTGTGTCTGTGGCAATCTCTATAAAAGTGAGTGGAAGTATGACTTTTGAATTAAATGATTTTTTTCCATTTGATAATGTGTTCATTTCTTGAATTTCTGATTAGTTTTGACACAACATATCTTAATTTCTTCTAATACGCACTTACATACTGATCAAAGGTCACAAGTCTAGGCCCTTAGCAGTTCTGAATGTCAACTACAGGGCTGGCTTTTTATGAGCTGGGAGTGGCTCTGTGTTCCACTTGCCAAGAGGTCAAATGCTGCTATCCTTGAGTCGGCTACTCAGGCCTCTCACACAGTTAAGCCTCACATTGTCATATTCCATATAAAACTAATAATTGTATCTCTTGGAACACATAATAAGTTTGAGCCTTCCAAACTTCAATTCTCTGAGTAGTTAACCTTTTCTAGAACTTGACACCGAACACAAGCAGACTGCCTGTGCTACTGAGTGTTCTTGTTTCTCGGGCCTCCCAGTAATGTCCTGAGTTGTGGCTTGGGATCTGGGTTTACAGTGAACGTCTAGTCCTAGTTCAAGTTCCAAGGATTCATGGATGCCTCTGAAGGAAGGGGACCTGGGGGCCTAGGGCAAAGCTTCTCACCAGTTGCTTGGCCTACACTGAGGAGGAGAGAGATGGGGATGCTCCTTTGGAGCCAGGATTTAAGGAGGAAGCTATTTGAATGTATGGGTCACATGGGAGCAGTCCACATCGTCCTCTTCTGCCAAGCTTAGCCTTGGTTGAGCTCTGGGAACAGCACAAATGTCCCACATCTGTTGTCCTCGCTGGGTTTGCAGGTCCTCTAGAACCACTGAACTCTTGAAGCCTTACACGTGTGACATGTTTGGTTCTGAGCTGAGGCTTTCTGAGTCCAAAAGCAACTTGAAGAACGGATTTATTTGGTGTAGATATCCCAACACCATAGGTCATTAAGGGAAGCCAGGTCAGGAACTCAGTCAAGCAGGTGAATAGGCAGAGACTATGGAGGAATGCTGCTTACTAGCTCACTAGCTTTCTTAGCTACTTATCCAGCTCAGGCCCAGCTGCTAGGGATGGCACCACCCACAGTGGGCTAGGTTCTCCTGCATCAGTTAGCAATTAAGGAAATGCCCCCACAGGCCAGTCCATTGAAGGCAATGCCTCCAATGAGCTTCCCTCTTCCAAAATGACTCTTTTGTGTCAAGTTGACAAGAAGCAACCAGCCCAAGCACACTGTCTGATACTGTCGCCAAGAGAGTGAAATGTGTGTCTCTGTTTCTGTCCCATCTGACCTTGTCCTTTCCAACAGGCTTCCCGGTCACTCTGACTTTCGAGTGTCTTCACAGTGTGAAAGGTCTTCATTTTTGGTTTGCCTTTAGCAGCCACCTGGAGCAGAACTCGAATGGCGTCACGTCCAGTGGCTTGCTGAGGCTGTGCTCATGTTAGTTCTGGCAGTGAGGCTGGTTGGTTGTAAGAGCGCTGTGGTTAGATATTGACTTGATTGACAGTTGAAACTAGGTGACTGTTTGTGGGTGTGAAGAAATATTTTCTCAGGCCCCAAATAAGTGCCAACTCTTGAGAATTATGCCATGTCTTTCTTCTTTCCTCAGGTCTTTCTCAGACTTCACTCAGATGCCACACGTCTCTCGCTGCTTTTAATAGCACCAAGTTACGCTGCAACTAATTGTGTGCTGAACTAGCCATTGTCAAGCTGCAATTGGCCTGCTCAGCAGCCAAGAGATGCCCTAACCAAGGCAGTAAGTAACTTCTCCGGTGGGCGAGGCTCCTAGCCTGGGAGAGCTGACCTAGGGGAAAGGATGCACATACCAAGGTACCAGAGTTCAGCCTTGGGATACTCAGCCAGCATCAGCCATTTGGGGACCAGAACCAGGATGGCTTTCCATTGAAATGATCAAAAACATATCTCACAGCAGCTGGCTGTCACACTACATAGCTATCCAGTCTATTATGTAATTGACCCGGGAGCCTGGCCACAGCCTCTGCTAGTGAGGCCCAGCTGCCTATAATATGCCTTCCTGAGCCCATCTAGCAATCCAGTGAAGATTTGAATTCATGGGGTTCTTTCTGGAGACATCAACTCATATCTTACCATGTCCTGTGCCCAACCTGAAGTCCAAATGCATGTTCTGGCACTATGGCCTGATGTCCCTTGCGCATTTATTAATTTAAATACAGGGTAAGTGACCCTTGACAAAAACGCCTCATTTGCTCATAGGCTCAGAGTGAAGGCTGTAGGGGCAAGACTTTTCTGCCCTCCACTCAGGCACACAGTACCCCCTCCCCCCAGTACCCCCCCTCCCCCCAGTAGGTGCTCTCAACTAGTGCTCACCACAGTGAACCCTCTGGATAACCCAATAACCAGGAGCCAAAAGCCCCTTTACTGTCATCTGGGTGGCTGGTGACTCATCCTAACATAGAAGCCCCTTCAACAAAACTCAGAATCACCCCAAACATTAAAAGCGCTCCTTCCTAAGGACCCATCGAGGAAATTCCACTCTGTCCCACGGGACCCGGTCTGCTCTCTGTCACTCTCGCTAAGGGAATTCTTGGAGTCTGACTGAAGTTTCCCATGGTGCAGCTGGCGTCCATTTCCGTGCTGGCTTAAGCGCCCTATTTTTATGCTTCCACCCAGTCGTTTCCTCTTGACCCACTCACATGTCAGGAGCTGCTAATGCTGGGAAAGGAGCACGCCTCTGGCCTTAGGGAACTCACACAGGCTTCACAGAGCAAGCTGGCTGGGGCTTTGCTATGAGAGATAGAAGTAAGAACCAGAGACAGCCTGGAGGAGGTGGCCTTCAAGTTGGACCTTGATACATGGAAAAGTGTCCCGGTCCTCCCAAGTGGGAAGGCATGAGGACCAAGGCATGACAGGGTGTTGCTGATGTTTTCTCCAGTCCTGCCTGGCCCACGGTCAGGACAAATCTCTCTCACCCGTCAGTCCCGCAGCTGCTCAGACCCAACCGAGTAAACGCACAGAGACTTACATTGCTTACAAACTGTATGGCCGTGGCAGGCTTCTTGCTATCTGTTCTTATATCTTAAATTAACCCATTTCTATTAATCTATACTTTGCCATGTGGCTCATGGCTTACAAGCATCTTTACATCCTGCTCCTCATCGTGGTGTCTGGCAGCATGTCCTCCATTCCGCCTTCCTATTCCCCCAATTCTCCTCTCTGCTAGTCCCGCCTATACTTCCTGCCTGGCTACTGGCCAATCAGTGTTTTATTTATCAATAAATCATAGCAACATATATTCACAACATACAGGACATCCCACAGCAACAGGGTATGGCCAGGAGTCGGGTAACCTCAGTGAAACTGGACCATGAGGAGACAGGGCTTTCCGGAGGTTGCAAATGACTCACCCTCACCTGTTCCCACCTTACCATTGGGTTTCTCTTTTACTGTCAGCTGACAATATCCTTTCTTGTTGGTCATAGTTAGCACCTTGCTAGATCCCCCCACTAAGTCCTCAAGACATATGAAGCACTGTCTAATATGAAATAGAAAGGTTCATGGAGGCCACACAAGCTAGGATGAGATGAACGGACAATTCCAGTGTAAGGCCTGTCTAGTTCTACAATTCTTGTGTCCTTTGAAAATCTTTTTAGAAATCCCTTCATACATGATCTTGTCTCAGTGTATGCACAGTAATTATGTCCCACACAGGACTGTTTCTACATTTACTGGGTTCCTCTCCTAGAGTGAAAAGCTAGTCCCTAATAGGCCTACTTCAGGTGTGGGGCCTACCTCAGGTGTGGGGCCTACCTCAGGTGTGGGGCCTACCTCAGGTGTGGGGCCTACCTCAGGTGTGGGGCCTGCCTCAGGTGTGGGGCCTACCTCAAGTGTGGGGCTGGCCTCAAGTGTCGGAGAGGCCTGAAGAGGACAGAGCAGTTCTAGGTTACGGAGCACATTTGCACTGCTAGGCTTCACACTGACTCTTCCCCGAATCCACTTACTTAATTCTCAAATCGGCCCCGGTGAAACAGGTACCCACTGTTATTCCATTATGCCCGTGAGGAAGTCAAATACCAGATTAGGCAACTTGTTCAAAGTCACACGGTTAATAAGTAACAAAGCAGAGCTAACCCCAGCTAACCCCAGCTAACCCCAGCACTTACACTCATAACATCCACAAAGGTCACGCTGGGGAAGGCCCAGAGGCTGCACCCCCGCCATGCCCTTCACTTCCCCGCCCTGAGAGAATCCCTGCTGTTCTTACCTGCTGACAGCCAGCACCCTTTCTACTGGTAAGAGCACCCCACTTGGGCCTCAGAGAGCCACATGCCCCTTACCCTCTGGTCCCAAAGGTTTGTGTGGCCTGGCATCAACTCGGCACCCAGTGGTGACCATGTGTTCTGGTGTGAGATGGAGTTGGATTGCTTCAGGAATGGATCCAGGGTCTACAGTCCCACAGCTTTGACCTGGAGCAAGGTACACAGAACCCAGCACCGGACAGCATGAAACCTGGGAAGAAGCAAGCGCCACGACGCAGCCTCAAGTGGCTTCTCCGTATCACTTCTTCCTGTCACGCTTGTTATCTGAAGGCCCAGGATGAGGCCCCTTCCTTTGCGTAAACTGCTTGTTGACACTGAAGAGTGCATCAGTTGGAGAAGTTGCCTCAGATAGCAAACAGATAGAAAGTGAACAAACACTGTCCTGGTTTGAGCAACCCTGGAACGGGCTCACACAAAGAAAAGCCTAACGCCTGTCTCCCTGCAGCAAGCGGAGCTTAGTTTTACAGTTCCGACATTTGGTCTCTTTTGTGAGCCAGGAGAAGCTGTGGCTACATCTCCTGAGGACAGGGAGGAATGATATCTGTCAGAGAAGGCTTTCCCAGCCCCAGCTGATTCCCCTTGTCACTGACTGATTGGCCCTGCAGGGGTGCCTCAGTGTTGAGCCAGCTGCACCCCACAGTTCTCACAGAGGATCCCCGGGGCAGCTCTAAGCAGGAACGGCAGTAAATCATGGCCAACCGTGAGGTGGAATTGGGTGCCATAGAGCTCATCTCAGAGAACTGAGCACACCCTGAGGCCGCACCCAGACCTGCTCAGCAGTCCCAGGAACATGGGTCTG